TGGTTGGACAGGTTGGCAAGATACATTGAGGACAGTGTAGCCCCGGAAGATCCCCAAGAAGAACGTTTGCTGCGGATGAGGGCACCCACCTACAAGGTGCAGGATGGAGTCCTTTATAAACGGTCTTACAATGGCGTTCTGCTCCGCTGTCTTAGGGCAGCAGAGGCAAAGGCACTGATGGAGGAAATACACGAGGGAGTATGTGCTGCACATCAGGGTCCATACTCTATCTCTAGAAAGGCGATTATCCAGGGGTATTTCTGGCCAACGATGAGGAAAGATTGCGAGGAGTATGTGCGCAAGTGCCCAACTTGTCAACAATTCCAAAATATGCCCGGGAGGCCAGCCACGAACTACACGCCCATCAGCTCCGTGATTCCCTTCTCTAGATGGGGGATTGATATTGTTGGAGCCCTGCCAAAAGGAGTTGGACAGGCAAGGTGGATAGTGGTGGCCATTGACTACTTTACCAAGTGGGTGGAAGCTGAACCACTTGCTGGGATAACTGGAAGGCAAATGATCAATTTCGTGGGAACCAACATACTTTGTAGATTTGGAGTCCTGAAGCAGATCATATCTGACAATGGAACCCAGTTTGAGGAAGCAGAGTTCCAAGACTTCCTCAAAACTTGGGGAATTCAGCATACGAAAGTGTCTGTAGCCTACCCTCATGCTAATGGACAGGGGGAGAACGTCAACAGGACAATCATAAGTGGAATAAAGAAGAAGCTACTTTCAGAAGGAAGCAAATGGGTGGATGAATTGTCTAGAATCCTGTGGACGTACAGAACAACTCCGAGGAGGGCTACGGGTGACACTCCCTTTGGCTTAGCTTATGGTTTTGAAGCCCGGGCTCCAGCTGAGACAGTGATCCCTACCAGGAGAGAAATGGGATATGACCCGGAAGTGAACGAACAAAATCAGGCCATAGAGTTGAATTTCATAGAAGAAAGAAGGGATGAGGCACGGATCCGGGCAGAGAATTATCGACGCCAGGTGAAATCTTACTTTGACAGTAGGGTGAAACCGAGGGCGTTCCAGGTGGGATATTACGTCCTGAGGAAGCGAGAGAAGAGTCAACCAACTAAAGGTGGGAAGCTGGCTAAGAAATATGAAGGATCTTATATCATCAAGGCCGTTGTTCGCCCAGGTACCTACAAGTTGGTGACTCCAAAGGGAAAAGAAATTCATAGGACATGGAATGTAGAGCACTTGGTCAAATTTTATCAGTAAAATCATTTTGTAAAGCGCTCTATCTTTGAATTTATGAGGTTTTGTTTCAATAAAATTTTCTTTCCTTTGAAGCCAAGTGCCTTTGCATTTTCATTGCTCTATAAATTCCTTCAAAAAAAATGAAGGAAGGGGGGAGAGCACCCCCGGGCGATATAGACCCACACTACAGGGAGGTAGATAAGTTTATGCCACCTGCTAAAAATAGGGGAGGTAGATAAGTTTATGCTCCCCAGAGGTAGATAAGTTTATGTGTAACACCCTAATCCGTCCAGGTCTACAGCCCCATTCGGACTAAAGTATTTAACTTGGTAATCGTAAAATTTAAAACTTTTCAAACACACTTTATTAATCTCAATAATATTTTTCATAACATATGCAGTACGGAGTATTTAACAATATTGCAGAAGCGAATTTAATATTGACATATCATAAATCATTTCAAAACTTGTCACATCCATCCTGACAATCTCGCCCCATCTGCCGCCAGGATCACATTAATCTTTCTGTTTACCTGCGTGTAGCAAATAAAACATACTACACGCTCATCGATGAAGCTGAGTAAGCATATCTAAAGCGTCGAACATCCAAATAAATTGAATCTCAATTCATAATCAACCATTTGATATCATGCACACAATATATGATTCAAACATTCATGATCTTCTCAATATTTTATTCCAAGTCATTTGATATTCAATATCTCAACCATGCTCTTAAATTATTCTTAATCTAAGGCCAAATCATTTTATAACAAGCTCTTAGCTATTCCTAGTCTAAGGCAACATTTCTAACCAGGCCCTTAAACTATAAATAGTTTAATGCAGAACACAAGAATCGATAATCCACCCTATGAGTCATGTGGATTACGTACCAACCGAACA